TTATCACTTGGCTTTATGGTTTTACTCTTTATAAGGATATAAAGACAGAACAAACTGGGAAACTGTGATCTGTTGCCAAGACAAACACCAGTGAGTGTGAGTAATCGGATAAACGTGTACAGCGCAGTGACGGGTATGACGTAATCTGGTTCTGTAGAGTGTCTCGAATGCGGTTCCTGCTAAGGCTCCTTTTGGTTAAAAAGCTGCCCAAAGAGAGAGGAACCTTTGATGGCAGTGAACTGGTTAGACATCAGCCTTCAGAGTGGAACGCACTAATCTGGCCTAACCTTAATTCTTTGGAAAAGTTTCTTTTTTATTTATTATTTTTCATGAGATTCAAAGATCTTTTTCTGAAGAATTAAGACTAGGCAGGTTATTAATTAACCAACAACTGACCACGCCCCAAAGGCCTGTTTCAAATACAGAACACACAGAACAAAATACCTTTTCCAGAGAATTTAGTTCAGGTGAGTTATTAATTAATTCACACAAATTCAGCCAATAATAAAAATAATTTAAAAATAATAACGTTACTGTCAGCAGAGCAGCTCTGTCTACAGTCATAACACTGACTGGAAAGGAGAGGAAAGTCACGGCTTTTCTGTTTGTTTTAAGGTAAAACATGGTTTAATGTAAAGGATGTTTTCTTTCTGCAAATCAAGACTGCACACACAACAATAACTTTTCATCAAATACAAATCATAATAAAATATCTGACATTTTACAGGACTGGAGACGGATTACAGAAACATCCTAACTCTGAAACCGGATGTATTTAGTCTCCATGAAACCGAATTTCAGACAGTAGCTATTCCAGAAGTTCCTACCTTCATAATCTCATCATGAACTCCAGATAAGAAAACAGCATCACACAAACATCCTAACTAGACTGAACCTCCTAAATCCTGTCCTAACTTTAGGATGAACCCCAACAGGGTCCTCACTTCTGTTTAAGGTCCGTTTCTATGGTTTTTAGGCAGCTGAGTCAGCAGCATAGTTCACTACCAGCATAATGAGCTCCATTTATTTCTACTGTAAAACGCTGCTTTCACTGTGAGATGATTTTCTTTTCTAACTCTGCGTTTTAAAGATCTCAGACGCTGCAGACTCGATCTCCACCGCCCCTCTGATCACCTTCCTGTGTTAATGTTGATGATGAAATATTACAGTGATGGTGGTGAATAATGAGGAGACGGAGCTGAACGTGTGTCTGTTTATTAGGAGGAGTAACGTTAGCGCGCTCGGCTAAAGCGTTTGGGGAATGGAGACTGAAACTGGGGAGCGGCGACGCTCTGATAAACAGCAGGGGGCGCTCTCACTGTATTCACACCTTACAGTTTATCACACTTTAGTTCTGTTTGACCTTTTTTTACATCAGTAACAGCAGCTTAACTCACATTTTAACATTATTTTGATGATGTGTTTACATTTCAGCTGTGTGTTTATGGTTGGGTACCAGGAAACAGACATGACAGCTGATTGTCGACTTCGATTCGAGTAGGTTAGGATTCCTAAATTAAGATCAGATTTGATTGTGTAATATGAATTAGTGAAAAATCTTATCTTAACCTGTCAGATCTTAACTTAGGACAGAAAGAGAGGAGGTTTCTGTAATACGACATCAGGACTACTGGGCTGTGCTCAAAATATCATAATATCATTCCTAATCATTTTCTTTAATATGTTAAAGATATGCTTAAGTGGCTAATTCCAGTTTCATAACATGGCCACTGGTCCACAAATACATTTTGACTAATACTCAGCACATCAGGAAATAATGAAGAGTATATGTTGATAAAAATCATATTTGAATAGGCCGTAATAAAGGCAAATGTTTATATTAAGTAATAATATAAAAAGTTCATTTGTAAAAACGCTGAACTCCCTCCTTTAAAATGGAGCTGACTGTGATGAGTTCTGACACTCTAACAGCTCATTCTGAACCCTGAACACGCTCAGTCACTAAAGCCGTTACTGGTCATCGTCGAGGCGTCACGAGTTCACGTTTTACGGCAGACACGGTCAAGTGCCAGCGCTGTTCTCCAGAAGAACCCCACAAATCCATTCAGCCGATCAGCAGGCAGTATTCAGGTCAGGTGACGCAGCAGAATTTCAGACGGCTTCTTCTCCTACAAAGAGCAGCACGCAGGTCTTAAACTAACGGCTACTGATCAAAACAGAGCTCAGAGTCTCACAGAGAACCACTCTGGATTCAGCCATGAGAGACGATTCATACTGGACAAAGACCAACATTATTATTATTATTATTAATATTATACAAAATTTCATAACTCACATAGTCACTATAGAGGGAGCAGTGAGCGGTTTGAGACTCAGCCTGAGGATTTTCAGAGCTCTGATCTTATAGATGATTAATATTGAACATTAACGTCTGTTTGTGGTCAGTTTTCAGATCTTTACCTGCTTGGTTTATGGTAAAGATGTTAAATATTGACCTTCAAAGAAACTTATGTCCATTAAATGGCTTCAACTCTGAAAA